TTTTTTGAGACAGAGAGAGACAGAGCATGAACGGGGGAGGGGCAGAGAGAGAGGGAGACACAGAATCGGAAGCAGGCTCCAGGCTCCGAGCCATCAGCCCAGAGCCCGACGCGGGGCTCGAACTCACGGACCGCGAGATCGTGACCTGAGCCGAAGTCGGACGCTTAACCGACTGAGCCACCCAGGAGCCCCTCAAAATTTGTGTTTTGGCCAAAACAGACAATCATCTGTGTTTATGGCACATCTGCGTGGAGGTGTCACATAAGCATTTCATTTTATTATTATATTTTATTTTCTTTTTATTTTTTAAATTTTTTTAATGTTTATTTTTGGGAGACAGAGACAGCATGAGCGGGAGAGGGCAGAGAGAGAGGGAGACCCAGAATCGGAAGCAGGCTACAGGCTCTGAGCTGTCAGCACAGAGCCCGACGTGGGGCTCGAACCCACGGATCGTGAGATCATGACCTGAGCCGAAGTCAGACGCTCAACCGACTGAGCCACCCAGCCGCCCCGCATTTTATTATTATATTTCAAAGATTTTATCTTGACGTAGTCTCTCCACCCCACGTGGAACTCGAACTCACAACTTGCGGTAAAGAGTTGCACGCTCCACTGACTCAGCCAGCTGAGCACCCCAGTCATGTGAGCATTTTAACGTACTGCTCTGGCGTTTCAGGGAGAGTCAAGGTTGAGTTAGGTTAGGGAATCTGTTGGCAGATGGCAACTCAAATAATATGAAATTGCCATTTTTGGTTAAAAGAAATGGTTGAATGCTGGCATTTTCAGTTGCTCAGTCTACCAGATGGTATTTAAAGCCACGAGTCTGCACAAAGTCACTTAGGAAGAGCATGTAGAGGGAAGAGAATGAAGGACAGGTTCCCAGCAGGTGCCTCAGAAGGCAGAGGAGTGTCAGAAGAATGGTGTCATCTGACTTCACCAGCTGGGCCCAGTCCGGCTCATCCTATAGATTTACACTTAGATGCTATTTTTCCCCGCAAGTCTTTCTTAATTCCTAAAGTGCTAGGTTGGTACCCACAGTCTCTTGGCCCTAACCACAGTGGCCTGGAAACGTTTGGGTCCTTGCCTGTCTCCCTCAATAAAATGTAATCTCTACAAGGGCGGAAATGGTTCCTAAGACCGTGCGTGGGGGCCCGGCAAGGAGCATGTGTCGAGAATGTACCTGTTCCTACATTTTGCAGGGTTAATTAAGACCCCCAAGCTTCCGTTTTTCAGAGTACCTCTGAAAATGCCCCTCTCTCCCCCACCCCATCCCTAACGCCTCCAAAGCCTCATCTGTCTTTGGAATGTGAAATCAGTTTGACAGGTTATAGTGGGTGTTACTTTTTAGGAACCTAACTCCTCTCTCCAGTACGGGACACCTGCAGAGATGCCCTCAGTCCTTCACTTCTATGTCCGTCCCTCTGGCCATGAGAGGGCAGCCTCTGGACACACTCGGAGGAAGCTGCAAGGGAAATTGCCAGAGCTGCAGGCTGTCAAGACCGAGCTGTGCTACAACGTGAACTGGACAGGTTGGGCCAAGTATCGGATTCTTGGGGGAGGTCTACCAGGCCAGGGGCCGTGTCTCAAGGTATCCTTGCCCTGTCCCTCCGTGCAGCGGACTCCCTCCCAAGCACCGAGGAGATGAAGAAGCTCACGTGGCTCTTTGGCTGCCCCTTGTTACCGGGTGATGTTGCCCAGGAGTCCTGGCTCCGTTCTGACTCCAGCGACCTACTGCTGGAGGTTGGGCCCAGGCAAGTGTCTCAGCCCAGGGCGATCCATTCCATGTTCTCGGGCATTCCTCCCTTGCAGGCACACTGCCCACCCCTTCTGCTTCCATTCCTCTCTTTCCTCCCATCTCGATCCTTGGCGGATCTGTACTTCCTTCGTTCTGTCCTACTCCCTGCCCGGAACGCCACACCCCGCCCGGAAAGCCACTGAAACCGGGGGCTCTGGGGTCCTAACCATCCGGCCCACTCCTCAGGCTGAACTTCTCCACCCCAGCCTCTACCAACGTCGTGTCCGTGTGCTGGGCTGCGGGGCTGGGGGCCGTGGATCGCGTGGAGACTACCCGGCGCTACCTGCTCTCGGTGAGGCCCGAGATAAAGAGATGAGGTCCTGAACTTTACAGAGATAGTAAAGGAGAAACGGGTAGAAACGGGGAGGAGCTCTTGGCTTTAGGCCTGTCCTGTTTGCAAGTTGTTCACTGCCTGAGGCTACCTGGTCGAGGGCTGAATGGGACGGAAGTCCAGCCTGTGCGCCCCTTAGGCGGACTCGTGCCTGGCAGGGGCGTGTTGTTCTAATCAGAACACGGGCACCACAGAGACAGCAGTGGGCTGGCCTCTGCGTGACTTAGAGGACCGGGGTGCACCATTTTGTCCACTCTTCAGCTCTCCGCCCCCTGCCCTCTGCGTGTGTCTCCGCCCCTAGTTTGCCAAGCCCCCTTCCTCTGAGACGAAGACCCTGGCTCTGGCTACCCTGCATGACCGGATGACGGAGCAGCACTTCCCGCAGCCCATCCAGAGCTTCTCCCTTCGGAGCGTGTCAGCACCTCTCAACGGCCGGATCGACATCCTGGCAGAGGGCCGGCGTGCCCTGGAAAAAGCCAACCGGGAGCTAGGTGAGCAGGGGTGCCCGGGAGGCAGGCCCAGCCGAGGCCAGTCGGGATGCCGGGACCCGTGACAGTGGGGGCCTGCACCCCACCGTCCGCTCTTCCCGTGGTTTTCTCCTAGGCCTGGCCCTAGACTCCTGGGACCTGGATTTCTACACCAAACGCTTCCAGGAGCTAAAGCGGAACCCCAGCACCGTGGAGGCCTTCGACCTGGCTCAGTCCAATAGGTGGGAAGGAATGGGGGCCATCCTGATGTCTGAGCCCGTGGAGGTTGGAAGGGGAGGGCGCAGGGACTCGCCTTCACGGCTGTCTTTTGGCACGGGGGCGTCCCCGAGTCTGTCTGGGGGCCTGGGCTCCATGTCCATGCAGTCGTCTCCATTCACGTCTTGACACCCTGTTCACTTTGAGTCTGAGCGGTCCACAGTGAAAGAACGTTTGAGGCTTGTGGGCTTGGGAATCTGGTGTGACCTGTCATCTGAGTGAGAGCTGGCTGTACCGTAACAGTTGCTGACGCTGGTGCGAAATGACCTGTGTTTCTGCCGGCCCTCCCCCCGCTCCCCCGTCACCCCTGCAGCGAGCACAGCCGACACTGGTTCTTCAAGGGCCAGCTCCACATGGATGGGCAGGAGATGACGCACTCCCTGTTTGAGGCCATCATGAGCACTCAGGCGTCCTCGAACCCCAACAACGTCCTCAAGTTCTGTGACAACAGCAGGTGGGCTGGGTCCTAGGCTGGGATGGCCTCGGGTCCAGGAGAGGGGAGGCCCCAAGCCTTCACGGGGTAGGCGCAGACCCCAGGAAGGAAGCAAGGTCCAGAACCAATGTGTCCACAGCGCAATCCAAGGGAAGGAGGTCCGATTCCTACAGCCCGAGGACCCCACGCGACCAAGCTGCTTCCGGCAGCAGCGGGCGCTGAGACATGTCGTCTTCACGGCGGAGACCCACAACTTCCCCACAGGTGAGCTGGGTCCCGGGGACAGGTGAGGGAGCTCAGAGTGTAGGGTAGAGTGAAGGTCCTCGGCTGGGTCTGGGAAAACAGACAGGCTGGTTGTCCTGAGTTGTAATGCGGTGGGCAGGGCTGGGGTCTCTCTCTGTGGTACCCATACCTCTCCCCCGTCTCTTCACAGGAGTAGCCCCCTTCAGTGGGGCGACCACAGGCACCGGGGGCCGGATCCGAGATGTCCAGTGCACGGGCCGTGGCGCCCACGTGGTGGCTGGGACTGCTGGCTACTGCTTTGGAAACCTGCACATCCCAGGTCCCGCCTCTTTGCTCCCTGCCGTCCCTTCCCTGTCCCGGCAGGCCTGGAGCACCTCTGTTTCTTAAGGTCATCCTGGGTGCCTTTTCTTGGGAGGCAGGGCTCCAGTGTAGCTGGCCTTTCGCCGACCGTGGCTGTGAGGACTCTTAAGCCCAGGGGAGACCCAGGTGCCCAGATAGGCTTTGCAGAACTGCAACGTTCTTTCTTTTTTTTTAAGTTTATTTATGTTTTGAGAGAGAGCACAAGCATGAGTGGGGGAGGGCAGAGAGAGACGGAGAGAGAGCGAATCCCAAGCAGGCCCCGCACTCTCAGCACAGAGCCCAACTCACAGCTCATGGAATCATGGCCTGAGCCAAAACCAAAGAGTCTGATGCTTAACCGACTGAGCCACCCAGGCGCCTCCTGCAATTTGCTTTATAAAATAGCATCTGCTCAGCAACGAAACATGGTGTTGGGTCAGTCTTAATGATCACCACCTGCCCCCAAAGTCTAATTTCTTAGAGAGCCCTAAGAACTCCGATCCCAAGGCTGGTGTGGGAGGTGGGGAACAAGATCGGTGCTTAATCACAGGCTCTACACCTCCTTGAAGTAGAACTTCCAGAAGCGGGACATTCCACCCACATGGGCGGTCCTTGGTGGATTAGACTCTTCCCAAAGGACCCTGGCGCCTCTGTCTTTTTTTTTTTTTTTAACGTTTATTTATTTTTGAGACAGGGAGAGACAGAGCATGAACAGGGGAGGGTCAGAGAGAGGGAGACACAGAATCTGAAGCAGGCTCCAGGCTCTGAGCTGTCAGCACAGAGCCCGACGCGGGGCTAGAACTCACGGACCGCGAGATCATGACCTGAGCCGAAGTCGGCCGCTTAACCGACTGAGCCACCCAGGCGCCCCTGTCTTCTGTCTTTACAGCCAACCTTCCCCTTTCCTTCCAGGTTACAATTTGCCCTGGGAGGACCCAAGCTTCCAGTATCCTGAGAACTTTGCCCGACCCCTGGAGGTCGCCATTGAGGCCAGTAATGGGGCTTCTGATTACGGCAACAAGTTCGGGGAGCCAGTGCTGGCCGGTGAGGCTGGGGGCGTGGGGGTTAATGGACACCTAGTACGAGAGGTGCGGTGGGGTGAATGACTGAGTGAGCGCTGGGTTGTGGGGGGCGGTACTGACTGGCCTCTGTCCCCACTGTCTGGTGTCCACACTCCAGGCTTCGCCCGCTCTTTGGGCCTCCAGCTCCCGGACGGCCAGCGGCGTGAGTGGATCAAACCCATCATGTTTAGTGGGGGCATTGGGTCCATGGAGGCTGAGCATGTGAGCAAGGAGCCCCCAGAGCCAGGTAAAAGCCCACCCCCCTTCTCCATATCCAGCCGGCTTTGTCCGCAGCACCCAGCAGCTGCTGGAGGGGAATTTGAAGGCTACGCTAGGGTTCGTTTTTATGTGTTTATTATTTATTTATACACACACGCACATATTTTTTCTTTCTTATTCTCAAGTTATTTAACAGACACTATAGCCTTGGCTTCAGGAGTGGAACCCAGTGATTCATCGCTTACATACGGCACCCAATGCTCATCCCAACAAGTGCCCTCCTCCGTGCCCCTCACGCATTTTCCCCACACCCATCAACCCTCAGTTTGTTCTCTGCATTTAAGAGTCTCTTACGGTTTGCCTCCCTCCCCGTGTATTGAATAGGTGACCCCGTCACATGGTTCAGAATTTAAAAGGCAAACAAGGTTATACAGCAAAAAAACTGTCCTTCCCTTGACCTCCAGCCACCATGTTTCTCTCCCTAGAGATAATCACTGTTAACCAGTTACTTGCATACCTTACTGGAGATATTTCCAGCATATATAAACAGACTTGGGGCGCCCAGGTGACTCAGTCGGTTAAGCACCTGACTTTTGATTTCGGCTCAGGTTATGTTTTCACAGTTCGTGAGACTGAGCCCCGCGTCAGGCTCGATGCCGAGTGTGGAGCCTGCTTGGGATTCCCTCTCTCCCTCTCTCTGCCCCTCCACTCATGCATGCTAAAAGGAAAAAACTTGTTTAAGAAAACAGACCTATATGAGGGCACCTGGTATGCTCAGTCGGGTTAAGCGTCCGACTTCGGCTCAGGTCATGATCT